GGAAGGACCCTATATAACACAGGACATGAGACAGTATATAAACATATATATTGTTGGGAGCGGGTTGGTGAAGGAAATGTCTACCTCTACTGTCTCCCCGGCTTTAACAGTGGAAAGATCCTATATAACACAGGACATGAGACAGTATATAAACATATATATTGATGGGAGCGGGTTGGTGAAGGAGATGTGCACCTCTACTGTCTCCCCGGCTTTAACAGTGGAAGGACCCTATATAACACAGGACATGAGACAGTATATAAACATATATATTGATGGGAGCGGGTTGGTGAAGGAGATGTCTACCTCTATTGTCTCCCCGGCTTTAACACTGGAAGGACCCTATATAACACAGGACATGAGACAGTATATAAACATATATATTGATGGGAGCGGGTTAGTGAAGGAGATGTGCATCTCTACTGTCTCCCCTGGCTTTAACAGTGGAAGGACCCTATATAACACAGGACATGAGACAGTATATAAACATATATATTGATGGGAGCAGGTTGGTGTGAGAGGAGATGTGCACCTCTACTGTCTCCCGGCTTTAACAGTGGAAGGACCCTATATAACACAGGACATGATACAGTATATAAACATATATATTGATGGGAGCGGGTTGGTGAAGGAGATGTCCACCTCTATTGTCTCCCCGGCGTTAACAGTGGAAGGACCCTATATAACACAGGACATGAGACAGTATATAAACATATATATTGATGGGAGCGGGTTGGTGAAGGAGATGTGCACCTCTACTGTCTCCCCGGCTTTAACAGTGGAAGGACCCTATATAACACAGGACATGAGACAGTATATATAAACATATATATTGATGGGAGCGGGTTGGTGAAGGAGATGCACCTCTACAGTCTCCCTGGCTTTAACAGTGGAAGGACCCTATATAACACAGGACATGAGACAGTATATAAACATATATATTGATGGGAGCGGGTTGGTGAAGGAGATGTGCACCTCTACTGTCTCCCCGGCTTTAACAGTGGAAGGACCCTATATAACACAGGACATGAGACAGTATATAAACATATATATTGATGGGAGCGGGTTGGTGAAGGAGATGTGCACCTCTACAGTCTCCCCTGGCTTTAACAGTGGAAGGACCCTATATAACACAGGACATGAGACAGTATATAAACATATATATTGATGGGAGCGGGTTGGTGAAGGAGATGTCCACCTCTACTGTCTCCCCGGCTTTAACAGAGGAAGGACCCTATATTACACAGGACATGAGACAGTATATAAACATATATATTGATGGGAGCGGGTTGGTGAAGGAGATGTGCACCTCTACAGTCTCCCTGGCTTTAACAGTGGAAGGACCCTATATAACACAGGACATGAGACAGTATATAAACATATATATTGATGGGAGCGGGTTGGTGAAGGAAATGTCCACCTCTATTGTCTCCCCGGCTTTAACAGTGGAAGGATCCCATATAACACAGGACATGAGACAGTATATTTACATATATATTGATGGGAGCGGGTTGGTGAAGAAGATGTCCACCTCTATTGTCTCCCCGGCTTTAACAGTGGAAGGACCCTATATAACACAGGACATGAGACAGTATATAAACATATATATTGTTGGGAGCGGGTTGGTGAAGAAGATGTGCACCTCTACTGTCTCCCCGGCTTTAACAGTGGAAGGACCCTATATAACACAGGACATGAGACAGTATAGATACATATATATTGATGGGAGCCGGTTGGTGAAGGAGATGTGCGCCTCTACTGTCTTCAGTGGAAGGACCCTATATAACACACGACATGAGACAGTATATAAACATATATATTGATGGGAGCGGGCTGGTGAAGGAGATGTGCACCTCTACTGTCTTCAGTGGAAGGACCCTATATAACACAGGACAGGAGGCAGTATATATACACATATATTGATTAGAGCGGGTTGGTGAAGGAGATGTCCACCTCTATTGTCTCCCCGGCTTTAACAGTGGAAGGACCCTATATAACACAGGACATGAGACAGTATATATACATATATATTGTTGGGAGCGGGTTGGTGAAGGAAATGTCTACCTCTACTGTCTCCCCGGCTTTAACAGTGGAAAGATCTTATATAACACAGGACATGAGACAGTATAGATACATATATATTGATGGGAGCCGGTTGGTGAAGGAGATGTCTACCTTTATTGTTTCCCCGGCTTTAACAGAGGAAGGACCCTATATAACACAGGACATGAGACAGTATATTTACATATATATTGATGGGAGCGGGTTGGTGAAGGGTATGTCCACCTCTACTGTCTCCCTGGCTTTAACAGAGGAAGGACCCTATATAACACAGGACATGAGACAGTATATATACATATATATTGATGGGAGCGGGTTGGTGAAGGAGATGTCCACCTCTACTGTCTCCCTGGCTTTAACAGTGGAAGGACCCTATATAACACAGGACATGAGACAGTATATATACATATATATTGATGGGAGCGGGTTGGTGAAGGAGATGTCTACCTCTACTGTCTCCCCGGCTTTAACAGTGGAAGGACCCTATATAACACAGGACATGAGACAGTATAGATACATATATATTGATGGGAGCCGGTTGGTGAAGGAGATGTGCGCCTCTACTGTCTTCAGTGGAAGGACCCTATATAACACAGGACATGAGACAGTATATAAACATATATATTGATGGGAGCGGGTTGGTGAAGGAGATGTGCACCTCTACTGTCTTCAGTGGAAGGACCCTATATAACACAGGACAGGAGGCAGTATATATACACATATATTGATGAGAGCGGGTTGGTGAAGGAGATGTCCACCTCTATTGTCTCCCCGGCTTTAACAGTGGAAGGACCCTATATAACACAGGACATGAGACAGTATATATACATATATATTGTTGGGAGCGGGTTGGTGAAGGAAATGTCTACCTCTACTGTCTCCCCGGCTTTAACAGTGGAAAGATCTTATATAACACAGGACATGAGACAGTATAGATACATATATATTGATGGGAGCCGGTTGGTGAAGGAGATGTCTACCTTTATTGTCTCCCCGGCTTTAACAGAGGAAGGACCCTATATAACACAGGACATGAGACAGTATATATACATATATATTGATGGGAGCGGGTTGGTGAAGGAGATGTCCACCTCTACTGTCTCCCTGGCTTTAACAGTGGAAGGACCCTATATAACACAGGACATGAGACAGTATATATACATATATATTGATGGGAGCGGGTTGGTGAAGGAGATGTCTACCTCTACTGTCTCCCCGGCTTTAACAGTGGAAGGACCCTATATAACACAGGACATGAGACAGTATATTTACATATATATTGATGGGAGCCGGTTGGTGAAGGAGATGTCCACCTCTATTGTCTCCAGTGGAAGGACCCTATATAACACAGGACATGAGGCAGTATATATTCATATATATTGATGGGAGCCGGTTGGTGAAGGAGATGTCCACCTCTACTGTCTCCCCAGCTTTTAACAGTGGAAGGACCCTATATAACACAGGACATGAGACAGTATAGATACATATATATTGATGGGAGCCGGTTGGTGAAGGAGATGTGCACCTCTACTGTCTTCAGTGGAAGGACCCTATATAACACAGGACAGGAGGCAGTATATATACACATATATTGATGAGAGCGGGTTGGTGAAGGAGATGTCCACCTCTATTGTCTCCCCGGCTTTAACAGTGGAAGGACCCTATATAACACAGGACATGAGACAGTATATATACATATATATTGTTGGGAGCGGGTTGGTGAAGGAAATGTCTACCTCTACTGTCTCCCCGGCTTTAACAGTGGAAAGATCTTATATAACACAGGACATGAGACAGTATAGATACATATATATTGTTGGGAGCGGGTTGATGAAGGAGATGTCCACTTCTGCTGCCTCCCCGGCTTTAACAGTGGAAGGACCCTATATAACACAGGACATGAGGCAGTATATATTCATATATATTGATGAGAGCGGGTTGGTGAAGGAGATGTCCACGTCTACTGTCTCCCCGGCTTTAACAGTGGGAGGACCCTATATAACACAGGACATGAGACAGTATATAAACATATATATTGATGGGAGCGGGTTGGTGAAGGAGATGTCCACCTCTACTGTCTCCCCGGCTTTAACAGTGGAAGGACCCTATATAACACAGGACATGAGACAGTATATAAACATATATATTGATGGGAGCAGGTTGGTGAAGGAGATGTGCACCTCTACAGTCTCCCTGGCTTTAACAGTGGAAGGACCCTATATAACACAGGACATGAGACAGTATATAAACATATATATTGATGGGAGCGGGTTGGTGAAGGAGATGTCCACCTCTACTGTCTCCCGGCTTTAACAGAGGAAGGACCCTATATTACACAGGACATGAGACAGTATATAAACATATATATTGATGGGAGCGGGTTGGTGAAGGAGATGTGCACCTCTACAGTCTCCCTGGCTTTAACAGTGGAAGGACCCTATATAACACAGGACATGAGACAGTATATAAACATATATATTGATGGGAGCGGGTTGGTGAAGGAAATGTCCACCTCTATTGTCTCCCCGGCTTTAACAGTGGAAGGATCCCATATAACACAGGACATGAGACAGTATATATACATATATATTGATGGGAGCGGGTTGGTGAAGGAGATGTCCACCTCTACTGTCTCCCCGGCTTTAACAGTGGAAGGACCCTATATAACACAGGACATGAGACAGTATATATACATATATATTGATGGGAGCGGGTTGGTGAAGGAGATGTCTACCTCTACTGTCTCCCAGCTTTAACAGTGGAAGGACCCTATATAACACAGGACATGAGACAGTATATTTACATATATATTGATGGGAGCGGGTTGGTGAAGGAGATGTCCACCTCTATTGTCTCCAGTGGAAGGACCCTATATAACACAGGACATGAGGCAGTATATATTCATATATATTGATGGGAGCCGGTTGGTGAAGGAGATGTCCACCTCTACTGTCTCCCCGGCTTTAACAGTGGAAGGACCCTATATAACACAGGACATGAGGCAGTATATATACATATATATTGATGGGAGCGGGTTGATGAAGGAGATGTCCACTTCTGCTGCCTCCCCGGCTTTAACAGTGGAAGGACCCTATATAACACAGGACATGAGGCAGTATATATTCATATATATTGATGAGAGCGGGTTGGTGAAGGAGATGTCCACGTCTACTGTCTCCCCGGCTTTAACAGTGGGAGGACCCTATATAACACAGCATGTGAATTTCACATTAGAAACACATTTCCAGAACTACTACCGTTGTCTATTAACGGTCTTATATATCAATCAATGAAATCCCACCTTTATAACAAGGTCGGGGCGGCGCAGCTGAACGTTGTAGAGTTGTGTGAACAGACTTCCGGTTTCCTTGACCTTCGTTAAAACCTGGATCTGGAAGTTGAAGCCTTCCTGTGGGCGCATCATTGCTTGCTGGGGTGACACACTCAAGGTGAAAGTCTGGCCTGTAAACACAATACCCAGTGGGTCATGTTCCACACAGGTATCGTAGAGCTTTCGCTCGTTTGATACCAAATCATTAACGCGTTAAATAAAAATGGTATTCCACGGAAGATCGATTAGTATCGTCTATTTATGTCTCACGAATATGACCACAATGGTACACCTACTCTCCACCGCCTGTGATAGCTTAGTAGAATCTACTTCTAGTGTCTTCTGTGTTAACATTGTTGCCTCTTCACACCTGCCTGTAATGAATACGATATATGTCTCCCGTTGCTACAACGTTAAATCAACTCCACCGTATGTAATACGTATGAGGATTACTAAACGACCTTCCGTGTAATCCCATTTTTATTAAACGGGTAAATGATTTGGTATCAAACGAGCGAAAGCGACTTTGAAACACAATCATTCACGACTTTAATAAAAATGGTATTTCACGGAAGCGAGTTTGGTATTCTGTTTTTTCTCTCCAACATAAACTGATAGAAACTGCCTACAGTGTGATGACTCTCAGCTTTCCGCGAGTCAAGCAAACTCTAATACCATTGTGACAGAGGTATTAACATTGTGACCTCATAACTGTACCATTATGACGTTATTACACTAGTGTAATATTGTCGTAAAGTTATTACACTGCAGTATCTTGCACGGGCGAGTAATAAGTCAGTTTATTATTTAAGCATATTTTTCCGGCTACCTGATTGGTCTAGAGGGTCACTGTCGACAGAAAAGCATATTGACTCCCACCCAGGTCCGACCAAAAGTATTATTGTCTTGAGGTTTTTTTCGGTAATTACATAATAAAACAATTATGGACTGGGGAATTCGATCAATACCTGTTTTTATGGACCCACGAAAGGCAATATTGATCTCGGTCTTCGTTCTCTGTCAATATTGCTTTTCGTGGGTCCCTAAATAGAGAATACTACACGAGGTCTTATTACATACGAAATAATACGAAACGAGTGTCCTTCCTATGGTATCTGACCGAGCGAAATGCATTTAAGTTGTAGAGTGAATGAATTCACGTGTTTGTTATGAATGAAAAAATAGTTACGTCAGAATGTGACCTAATTGAAAGGTCATCGGTTATCCAATCAAATCGTTAGAATCTCAGGTCAAGTCGTTACGACACAGGTCAACGCGATGTGACACTCGTGTGACGTACGATATTAGTATGCAACTACCCATACGTTGGCCACGTGAGTAATAATTAAGAATATTTCACTCATATATGACGACGTCCATGCGTGTATGTGTGGCGTCTTGTACTTGCCCTGACCATTAATGCCGAGCGCCCGGCAGACTACATACAAGTACCATATGTTAACGTTACCAATACGTTGACCTCGTGGAGTAATAAAACAGGTATTTGACCTCATCACCAGTCTATAATTGTATAATATATCACGTCTCTTACGACTCAATGTTACACCTACTTTGCCCTGCTTGTAATGTCTCCATCTTTTCAGACTGGGCAGCCGTCCCCGTCGTGACGCCGTGGTAGGTACTGTGAAAGATGTCGATAAACAAGGTAACGGTGCGGGCCACGTTGTCGTTGTTGCGGGCGTGTATCTTTACCGAAGCCCATTCCCACCATGACATCGACATTGTCCATACTCAGTCCAATGGCCTGAGTTAAGAAATTGAAAATATAACCTCCTTGGTTAAAACGTTCACCATATATAAGAATCAACAGAACGTTTTAACCCATCAAGCCTGTCCATAGCACCATGTGTTACAATACGAATATGTATAGACTAACATCTAGTCTCTGAAGTGAACATATTTCACAGAGAATTTCAAAATTAAAATAATTACAATTAAAAGAAGCCCATAGACTTCCTCCATTATCAGAAACCGTGGTAATCTGGACTTGCCACACATTCTAGACTTGCATGTGCTGGATTGGGGATATGTGTTTTATGGTCTGAGTGACAGACAAGAATATGTATAAATGCACCACATATTTAATACTAGCACTATCTAGTGTTAAACTCTCGCCCTCACCTGTGACATCGGCAGCTCATCCTCATCGTCATCCAGATTGTCCTTTCTGAACATCGCCCTGGGCCTGTCGGAGACACATCTCTTGCTTTCTTGGAACCTGTGAGAAGACAGAGTAACTGAAATAACGACATCAGTTGGCAATAGGCCTGGGCCCCATTTAACAAAGCTCTCGTAAGCCTAACATCTCGTAATGTTTCTTCTCGTAGCATTTGTACCTCCTATACTGTAGGACTCGTAAGCCTAACATCTCGTAACCGTTCTCGTAGCGTTCGTACCTCCTATACCGTAACATAGAAGGTACGAATGCTACGAAAAAATTACGAGATGTTAAACTTACGAGAGCTTTAATGAAACGGGGTACTGGTCTGGTTTCAGTGACCATCAGCTTTCCTTCCTGGGTGCTGTAGTGCTTTTACTAAGGCTCCGGGCAGTAAGACTACCTTCAAGGTGCGTGTAGTGCTTTTACCAAGCCTCCGGGCAGTAAGACTACCTTCAAGGGGCGTGTAATGCTTTTACCAAGGATCCGGGCAGTAAGACTACCTTCAAGGTGCGTGTAGTGTTTCTACCAAAGCTCCGGGCAGAAAGACTACCTTCAAGGTGCGTGTAGTGCTTTACTAAGGCTCGGGCAGTAAGACTACCTTCAAGGTGCGTGTTGTGTTTTTACCAAGGCTCCGGGCAGTAAGACTACCTTTAAGGTGCGTGTTGTGCTTTACCAAGGCTCCGGGCAGTAAGACTACCTTCAAGGTGCGTGTTGTGCTTTACCAAGGATCGGGCGTAAGACTACCTTCAAGGTGCGTGTTGTGCTTTTACCAAGGCTCCGGGCAGTAAGACTACCTTCAAGGTGCGTGTTGTGCTTTACCAAGGCTCCGGGCAGTAAGACTTCCTTCAAGGTGCGTGTTGTGCTTTTACCATGGCTCCGGGCAGTAAGACTACCTTCAAGGTGCGTGTTGTGCTTTTACCATGGCTCCAGGCAGTAAGACTACCTTCAAGGTGCGTGTTGTGCTTTTACCATGGCTCCGGGCAGTAAGACTACCTTCAAGGTGCGTGTTGTGCTTTTACCAAGGCTCCGGGCAGTAAGACTACCTTCAAGGTGCGTGTAGTGTTTTTACCAAGTGTCAATAAGGTGTGTGTTGTGCTCTGTCCAGTGGTCATTGACAGTGGGCCTACCTTGCGGATACTTATACTGGTCAGTTACATCCAGTCGCTGCAGCCCGACCTGTGACTCACGGGATGGACTGTGGGTGCTGATATTCTTGCCAATACTGCAGAAACACGCGGAATAATTAGGAAACGGACGTCAAGGACGCATCATGTTCTAGTCAAGGACATAGGCAACACGGGGACATATACAATAAGGGAATTGTGCTTGTCAGGAACATATGCGTGAGTGAGCGAGTGAGTTTAGTTTTCCGCCGCTTTTAGCAATATTCCAGCAATATCACGTCAGGGACACCAGAAATTGGCTTCACATTGTGTCCATGTGGGGAATCGACCCTGGGTCTTGGGCGTGACGAGCGAACGCTTTAACCACTAGGCTACCCCCACCGCCCCTTATGCGTGAGGTGGAAGTGCTTGTCCAGAACACATATGTGTCAAAGACTAGTGTTAGTCAGAGACCTACACCAATTTGGAACCTACCATTATCTGTGACAGTCGTACCAGTCGGGGGACCTGTTCTATTCATATATACTGTATAATATATTGCAATTAGGAAATTAATGCGATGACTGGTGACTTCACCCACCAGAGTGTTACTTACATGTTCCTGATCCGCTTCACTTGTTTGAGTTTTCTGGTCACTGAATCCTCTTCCCAAGTCACTAAGTCCGCATTGACCTCCGCGAACACGAAGGGCGTGTCATGGCCGATGTAGATCAGCCCTTCCTTGATGGCCTTCAATGGGGCGGGACCACAACAGAACGCGCCTGTAAATGCATGAAAGAGACAAGGCAATAGGTGAGTGAAAAGGATACAAGTTCTCTAACAATATATGTGTGCGTTTTAGGGGTACTGTATGTCAAGTAACATTGGTTGTTATCATATGTAATGTATTATTGGGCGTTATTGTATGTCAAGCATTAACAGCTGGTAACATATGTCAAGTATCACTCATTATTATTGCATATCAGGCATCAATGGTTGTTATTGTGCTTCAAATATCAATGGTTATTTTGTGCATCAAGTATCAATGGTTATTATTTCGCGTCAAGTATCAATGGTTGTTTTGTATGCCAAGAATCAATGGTTGTTATTTTGGTGGCAAGTCTCAATGGTTATTATTTTGCGTCAAGTATCAATGGTTATTATTGTGCATCAAGTATCAATGGTTATTATTGTGCATCAAGTACCAATGGTTGTTATTGTGTATCAAGTATGAATGGTTGTTATTATGTATCAATTATCAATGGTTGTTATTGTGTATCAAGTATCAGTGGTTATGATTGTGTATCAAGTATCAGTGGTTATGATTGTGTGTCAAGTATCAATGCTTATGTCGGTGTCCCTCCCACCTTCACTTTCCTCCTGGGGCGTGGCATCAATGGCCTGCCACCCGTCAAACTGTTTCCCCAAGTCTGGGCGACTCATCCATACCTCGTTCCATACATAGAAAGTTCCTGGGAAATTCAAATGTTCTTTGTCATACGTAAATGGGCTAAAACTGAATAAAACACGACAGTCAGCAATACTATTGTAGATATGTACGCTTTTCCTGAACACGCAGTCTCTTATCAAATAGGCTCGTACATCAACCTGGGCGATGGGGTAGCCATATGGTTAAAGCGTTCGCCCGGGTTCGATCCCCACATGGGTACAATGTGAAGAGCATTTCTGGTGTCCCCGTCGTGAAATTGCTAGAATATTGCTAAAAGCGGCGTAAACCTTAACTCACTCACTCTTACATCTACCATGAGATACTGGCTACTTGCTACCCATGCAAATGACTATATGATAGTAAACCACGAACAATTATTCTAGGCTTTCTTATTTTTAAATAACTTAAAATATTGTTTTTCCAAACAATAATTGAAAATATCAATAGATGTCACAAACATCAGAAAAACAATATCGTTTTAGTCTATTAATTCCATAAATTTGTCAAGAACAGCATTGGCACCATCTTCCAACTGTCCTCGGACATGAACCCCCATACTTACCATTTCCTGTCGCCGGAGACGTTGACATAGCCACCCGTATGGTTGGGTCGGTATATTTCGTCTAAGCTTAGACGTTCCTTGTCAGTGTTGTGAGAAGATTCATAGTTGGTGACACTCCTACAGGGCAGTCCTATGGCTCGGCACACTGTGGATACAGCGAGCAATGTATTATTAATTACGGTGATATTCAAATTCATAAACATAACTTTCAGCCCAGAAAATACATGACTATAGCATGTGAGCGTTGTCACGACGCGTCAGCTTAATCTGACGCAGGTCTCAGACGTGTACCACTGTGGTGGAACCCACGAACACGGGTTTGGTGCTGGCAAACCTAGAAATATAATCGGGGAAATCGGGATTCGAACCAACAACCATAGGTTTTTGTGTACCCGGAGGGCGCATCACTGCAAAGATAATTGCGGCGCGATAGACGATTTGGCAGTCCATCCACTAACTTGTTGCATGTATGTCAGAAGGATAATTGTTCTCTATATTAATGATAGAATTGTTCGCCTATACTGATAACAATGATATTGACAGTTTTCCTTTGCTGATAATGACAATACTGAGTATTTCCTACTCATACGACCCGACCCACCCACCCATACCACTCCACCCCATCCCTACCCGCGCCCACAAGTAGTGCTAAACAACCATACTCATTTAGCCCTCTACTGCAAAGTAAAACACCGATTGTTTGTCCACACTGTTAAACAACAATTCGGATTGTTTATCTATACCAGTTACACAACAATAGATTGTTCATCCACACAAGTACTGTAAGACAACAATACGGATTGTTCATCCTCATTGTTAGACAACAATACGGAAACTCCCATTCTTAAACAACAATTCTGCATGTTCTTCTCCATGGTTAACAACAATACTGATTGTTCATCCACACTGTTAAGCAACAATACGGATTGTTCATCCACACAAGTACTGTAAGACAACAATACGGATTGTTCATCCTCACTGTTAGACAACAATACGGAAACTCCCCATTCTTAAACAACAATTCTGCATGTTCTTCTCCATGGTTAACAACAATACTGAGTTGTTCTCCCCACCTGTTACGAGGACCCTGGAGAAGACCCAGCACTGGTCCGAACTTGACCGGTTTGGCGGTGGACATGTACTGCTTCAGGATCTTCACACCCCTGTCCAAGTGTTAGGATGCACGTGCCGCCGTCGAAACCGCCATTCCATTTCCCATACAGGACGCCGCGTTGTCATCGTTGAAGTTCACCTGAGCATTAATAAATATGACAGTGTGGCAGTGCACAATTTACAATTGGATGCTTTACACATTTGTATATTTATGTGTATGTATATATTTGTATATATTTGCCACACTTCACGTTCATTCTAAACAATGCACAATTTACGATTAGATGCTTTACATTTGTATATTTATGTGTATGTATATATATTTTGTATATTTTCCACACATTTCACGTTCATTCGAAACAGTTACTAATGTGTCACTTTAGTTATCCTTCATGCCAAAGGTCAAGCTGACATAAGGCACTTTGCAAAGGTAATTAACATCAATTATAAAACCATTTGAAGTGTCTACTTCAAATTCAATCTATTATCAAACTAAAAGTGTGTTGACACTGATGTTAACGTTAAGTTTGATGACGGTGTAATACTATCATTGGTCTCATCTGGATCCTTACAGGAATGTCTCAAGATCGAAGTGAAAGTGCACCTTCTGCAACAAATGAAGTAAGAATATGAATAATCCATGGTCACTGGGCGTGAGTACTCACTATATCTTGGAGAAGCATCCTGGCAACCTTGCTGGCGCGTTCCCCATGGATCGTGTCATCTTGAAGTTGAAGCCTTTCCTAAGAAGATGGAGAGCGGCGGCAGGATGCCGTCCTCAAACTGGCCAACAACAGATTGGTTCAAATTATTTTTACAGGTTAAACCTGGTCCTCAAACGAGTGTGTGTCCAACTAAGGGTTAAAATTATTATCAGATTAAAAACATGGGCCCTGAAACGAGTGGGTGTCCACTAACAGGTACATATCTACAACAGATTAAACAGGTCCTGAAATGAGTTGCTGTCCACCAAAGGGTTCATGTCTACAACAGATTAAACAGGACCTGAAATGACTGGGTGTCCACCAAAGGGTTCATATCTACAACAGATTAAACAGGGACCTGAAATGACTGGGAGTCCACCAAAGGGTTTCATATCTACAACAGATTAAACAGGACCTGAAATGACTGGGTGTCCACCAAAGGGTTCATATCTACAACAGATTTAACAGGTCCTGAAATGACTGGGTGTCCACCAAAGGGTTCATGTCTACAACAGATTAAACAGGGACCTGAAATGACTGGGTGTCCACCAAAGGGTTCATATCTACAACTTAGATTAAACAGGACCTGAAATGACTGAATTGTCCACCAAAGGATTCATATCTACAACAGATTAAACAGGACCTGAAATGACTGGGTGTCCACCAAAGGGTTCATATCTACAACAGATTAAACAGGTCCTAAAATGAGTTGGTGTCCACCAAAGGGTTCATATCTACAACAGATTAAACAGGTCCTGAAATTAGTTGCTGTCCACCAAAGGGTTCATATCTACAACAGATTAAACAGGTCCTAAAATGACTGGGTGTCCACCAAAGGGTTCATATCTACAACAGATTAAACAGGTCCTGAAATGACTGGGTGTCCACCAAAGGATTCATATCTACAACAGATTAAACAGGTCCTAAAATGAGTTGGTGTCCACCAAAGGGTTCATATCTACAACAGATTTAACAGGTCCTAAAATGAGTTGGTGTCCACCAAAGGGTTCATATCTACAACAGATTAAACAGGTCCTAATAAACAGGTCCTAAAATGACTGGGTGTCCACCAAAGGATTCATATCTACAACAGATTAAACAGGACCTGAAATGACTGGGTGTCCACCAAAGGGTTCATATCTACAACAGATTTAACAGGTCCTAAAATGAGTTGGTGTCCACCAAAGGGTTCATATCTACAACAGATTAAATAGGTCCTAAAATGAGTTGCTGTCCACCAAAGGATTCATGTTAACAACAGATTAAACAGGTCCTGAAATTAGTTGGTGTGTCACCACAAAGGGTTCATATCTGCAACAGATTAAACAGGTCCTGAAATGACTGGGTGTCCACCAAAGGGTTCATATCTACAACAGATTTAAATAGGTCCTGAAATGAGTTGGTGTCCACCAAAGGATTCATGTCAACAATAGATAAACAGGTCCTGAAATGAGTTGGTGTCCACCAGCGGGTTCATATCTACAACAGATTAAACAGGACCTGAAATGACTGGGTCTCCACCAAAGGATTCATATCTACAACAGATTAAACAGGACCTGAAATGACTAGGTGTCCACCAAAGGGTTCATATCTACAACAGATTAAACAGGTCCTAAATGAGTTGGTGTCCACCAAAGGGTTCGTATCAAGCGAAGCAGTAGGCAAAAGCGGGTTCACATGCATTAACATATTAACCCTAGTCCTCCAAACGAGTCAAAAACAACACAAAGTCTCAAATCCAGACCACGCTAAACCTGGTCATGACATCAACTAAAATTGCAAAGTCTTTTACAAATTCTGCACAATGCCGACTTTATTTATTTATCGACTAGGTAATGAAATACTATATGTATTTCAGAAAGATGGTTTACTTATTGGATAAAGTGTAATTTGAAAACGCGATAAAAGTATGGACTTCATGCCACTGAATATGACGCCTTCAACTGCTTTTGCATAGAGCGGGAATCTCACGATTTGATATGGCTGTAAATCACTTAATGCTTTGAGATTTTTTATGCATTTTGTTGAACAGGCCAAATCAAAACCAAGCAGAAAAAAAAAGCTCGAATTAATGCGTGAGCAAGTTATGATGCAAATGTTTCAATTCCTGCGTTGTTATTTTGACAGTGTCTGACAATACTAAAGCTCATTGTGTAGATCGTGAACTTGAACCATTTCTGATTGAAGTGGACATGGGTGATCGTGTCCATACATGCGAATGTTGTCATGAATTGCGACCTGTTAACGCCATCTTGTCCGGTGGGTATGCGTGCGTACTTCATACAAAGAACAGCTAAAAAATAGTCTTGTTCTATGTATGCATTTCCTAGAAGAGGGACATCGTAGCATGGTCGCATTGTCGTGTTGTCTCCCTTTAATAAAGAAAGCAGAAAGTGGAGTGTCAAAATTGGCAACGCGACAATGCGACATCGTGACAATATCCTTTAATTGATTCCATAGTTATTAGGGCTGCACGGTATATCGCCATCCCTTTCATTGACGACAAATGTTTACGATGAATTTATTCAATCACAAAACTGCATACTGTATTATTATAAATTTGTATAAAAAGAAAATGGCATCTATGACTATGCAA